CCCCCTCCATTCTCATCTGTACTTATGGTCTTGCTTCTTACCTTTTTACCTAAACCAGACAGTGCCCATTGCTTGGAAACAGCACGGAGTAACTTCCTGACAGGATGCAATATCATCAGGGTTAATATGAACTGACATGATATGACTGAGGAGGTTAGCACGGCCGGTACTGATGTTTCTGCCCCTGTGTGTTTGTGTTATGTGTGTTGCAGTTACGAAGCTCCTTCAAGCAGGCGTTCAGCAAGAAGAAAACCAAATCGCAATCAGCCCACGATGAGATGGAGGAGATGACCGACTCTCTGCCTTCCTCGCCCAAACTGCAGCACGACAACAGGCAAGGCAGTATTGCCACGCTGCGCTCTTCACCCTCCACCACAGAGTGAGTAAATGTATACTCCTTCACTCTCACAGTTCTAGTCACATGAGACATCGTCTTCTGCCGTATCTACGATCTATAATAACTGAAATACACACTTTTTCTTTTTCTTCTCTGAATATGTAATTGTTTCTGACCCTCACTTCACTTTTCTTTTCTCTTTCATCCAACCACTCTGTTTCATCATTTCTTTACTATTTCTCTACCTACTGTAGCAAGTGCGTTTGCGATAGCAAGTCTTCCCCCATTTGGACGGCAAAGAAAAAGCTAAATGGTTATGTGGTCTACAAGCACAGATCTCGGTAACAGGCACAGAGTGGCATGCTCCCTGGGAGTGTGTTTGCAGTGGTTTGTGTTTGTGTGGCGTTCTTCTCCATATTAGCGCGTTGCTCGGGGACACAAACTGAACCAGGACCTTAAAATTGTCCAGTTCTCGGTTATGGAAAGAAAACTATTCTTGTTTTGTCAGACATGTCAGAAAAAATTGTCTGCATCTTACTACAAAAGGTCAATATATCTATTTATATATTGATATATAAATATATATCTGTTTCACAGTCATGCCAGGCATTGTTTGGGTTAAGATAACCTGGCATGCGTGGTATCTTAACTCTTATCGTCTCGGCATGTGGAGGTTTCTGACTTAGCAAACACATTTTTACATGTCGACTTTTTTAATATCTGCCTGCTGATTACGAAAACAGCTGAATCTCTGTCGCTATGACAACACCACATCAGCCTTTTTAGTTTACTCTGAAAATGATCTCTTACATTTCAGACTAAACATTAATGTTAAATAAAGAAAAGAGCAACCGGTATGCTGCATGGCTGTCATAAATTCTGGCATAAACATCCTACACATATTGCAATATTTCTTTTCCTGTAAGATTGCTAAAATAAAGTACTGTAGTATCAGTGGGAAGGATTTGCTGTACAAGTGCTTAACGTTCCTTGTTCACCCATATGAAGCCCAGACTGACTCAGCTTGAACTTCAGCTTTCTTGTTCCCCCTGAAAGTGCACATTCTCCAGACTCGGTGTACGTGCTTGGTGTAACCCTAAAGGTGAGCCCTCCTCCTCCCTGTGTGTGAACCCACTTTCAGGCTATGTGAATGCACTGAGGCTGAGGCAGAAATCATCCTCCAGCTGAAGAACGAGCTGAGGGAGAAGGAGCTCAAGTTGACGGACATCCGCCTGGAGGCACTTAGCTCTGCCCATCACCTGGACCAGATCCG